TTGTCCCGCGATGAGGGTGGCTGCTTGAGGGAACCTCTTTTTCCATCATGTTTACACATAGGCTGTAGATTGCTCATTCTGCCTATGGCTGAGACCCTCAGGACTGGGGCTGGGTTAAGGATCTCCAAAAAGATCCTTTGAAAGATGAGGAATCTCGTGTTTTGGGGCATTTTTGGTATTCTGATTCCTTAACCTCCTCTCCCTTCTGTAAGTAAAAATGTGAATCTCAGGAATTTAAGTTTCAGCTCCTTTCCCAATATGGTTCATCCTCAGTATTCACTGATCCGATATTTGCAAACTTCCCCACTTGCTAAAATTTACTGGTATACTTTCAATACTCTCAGCATGTTCATGGTCATTTTCCGGCATGCACAGTGTGCAAAAATTTGAATAATCTGATGTGCATGCTCCCAGCTGAAGTTGAACAAGGTTGAATGCGGCAACATTCTGCCTCCTTGTTTCAGCTCTCGTATGGCAAGCAAGTGTCCTTTTCATGATCTGTTGAGGGTCTTTTTTTCACATTTTTGTGCTTATTTTGGTGATGTTACTGCTTAAGATGGTCCCTAAGCACAGTGCTGACATGCTGTCTAATATCTCTAAGTGCAGGAAGGTTGTGACACTCCTCATGGAGGAAAGGCACATGTTATTGAAACTTAATTCAGACGTGGGCTATGTGCTGTTGGCCATGAGTTCAGTGTCAATGGATCATTAATGTATATTAAATAGGTGTTTTTAAAATGGAAACACACCCAGAACAAGGTTATGTATTGATTTGTTAAGGAAAATACTGTGTCCAGAGGCTTATAGGAGCCCGCCCTGTGTTTCTCCTAGGAGCAATGCTTCAGTAGTCCTGAATTCAGTGTTCTCAGAAACTTCATAGAACATAGCTACCATACTGTAAATCATAAGATCGACTGTGTGTGCATTTTATACTGTTAAGAGATAGCTGCCCAGGGACATTGCCTGGGGTCGCATAGGGGTGAGAAAATTGTAACAAAGGCAAATACCAACTGGGGCTGCAGAGGAGGGAAGTGGAGTGAGCCCTGCAAGGTTGGGGGAGCTGGTAAAAAAAAAGGAAGGAAAATTGTCTGGGAGAGAGGTGGAGATTTCTAAGACATGAGGTCTACCTACCCTGTTACTGCAGATGGCCAGAGTCAGAGTGTGTCCTTCAGTATGCTAGTCTATTATAATGAGCATATAATTAGGGGCAAGGTTGAACAGTGGGCAAATTAGTTGCCATCTTTTTTCTAGCAGGCTCTAACCGGTTCTTGACCACATCTTGTTTTTCTCTGTGGGGGCTCAGAGAACCAGGCTATTCACTTGTTTAGAGACACCGTCTCAACTTGGTCTTGAAAAATTAGCCTTGTTTATCCTAGGAAACTAGTCTTGCTGAACTTCTACCTCACTTCCAGCAAAGATGGACATTCAAGCATATCTCAGGTGGTCAATTCTGGGTCTTACATAGATTATTGATGCAGGGAGCTTGGTTGGGTGGGCTTTGGCTGTGAAAAAATGTTTTTAACCTTCTTTTCTGCAGTTCTTCTACTTGAGTTCTAGTAAGTGTTTAATAATACCATCATTTGGATGTAGCGATGGTAATGCTATGGCTTTATCCACCATCAAGCCACTCACACAGCTTTTCTTCTATTCCTAATATATAGGACTAAGTTACTGGTAAACTTTGCAGTCGTAATATAGAACAGTTCAAGGACAAAGGGGTTAATCTGATTATTCATTCATTCAGAAAGTGTTTACCTTTGACGACTAGTCAAAGGTAAAATGACTAGTAGTCCAATGCCTCGTGCTAGGCTTTAGAGACTGTATTAGTAAGGATTGGCTAGTCACAAATGGCAGCATTATATTAGAGGCTCAACACAACAAAACTGTGTTTCTTGCTTATAGTTCATGTTCCACAGAAGTTTTGGAGTCTCTGCTCCACAGAGTCACTCAGGAACCTAGCCTACACCGTCTGCTGCCTTAGTCACAGAGGCAAAGAAGAACACACTAGAGAGTCCTTCAAGAACATTGAAATGTTTTAGCACAGAAATGACTCCTGTCACTTCCCCTCTCACCCCATTAAGCAGAGTAAGCGAGGAGGTGTGTGTAATCCTTCCATGTGCCCAGAGTTGTGGAGAACAAAATGAGGATAGCATTTTCTATATGGATACAAACTACTTATTACCCTCCAGATGCTCAAGATGGAATGATGTGCACAGACAAAAGAAAACAAAGCAAAAAGATAGCTATAACATGGTGTGATAAGTACAAAGATAATTTCTTGGCGCTTCATTTTTCCAGTGGGTAAGACCAAAAACCTTGGCATCACCCTGACTCCTTTTTCTCACATCGCACCTGTGAATTATTAGCAAATCCTGTCGGCTCCATCTTCAACTAGCTGTCTTCTGAATGTACCCAGAATCACATTCCTTGCTACCATTTCCCCTGCACCGCCATACTCACTAGACATCAACTCCTTCCTGGATTTTTCTCGTAGCCTCCTACCTGGCTGCCCTTCTTCCGCCCTTACCCATGGCGGCCAGAACAAAACAGTTAAAACATAAATCAGACCATGGGCTCTTTGTCTAAAACCCTCCATTCCCTCCCTGTGAACTTCAGAATAAAATCAGGACTTTTCAATGGTCTTTGCGTCTCTTCCTGACACTTTCCTCATTACCTTTCTGACCTCATCCTCTACAATTTCCCCTTCAGTCAGTCTGCCCCAGACCCCCTGGCGCTCTTAGCATTCCTGCTTTCCCTGGCTTCACTTCACTTTCACTTCTTGCTTTCATACCAGGAACGCTTCTGCCCAGAGCCTTTGGTTGGCTCTTCTCTCTGTGAGAATGTTCTCCCAGACAGCGTCAGAGTTCACTCCCTTACTGTTTTAAAATCTCTGCTTAAGCGTCACCTTCTCAATGAGATCAGATTTCAAATTGCAGCCCCACCCTTTACAAGCATCCCTGATCTCCCTTACTTGGTTCTACTTTTCCCTTTCTTCATAGCGCTAATTGCTTTCTTTCTTTCTTTTCTTTTTTTTTGAGTTGGAGTCTCACTCTGTCGTCCAGCCTGGAGTGCAGTGGCCGCTTCCGGCCACTGCAGCCTCGACCTGCTGGGCTTCAGCGATCCTTCTACCTCAGCCTTCCGAGTAGCTGGAACTGCAGGCACGCACTACCACGCCCGGCTGAGTTTTGATTTATTGTAGAGATGAGGTCTCGCCAAGTTGCCCAGGCGGGTCTCAAACCCACGGGCTCAGGCATTCCACTCACCTCAGCCTCCCAAAGCGCGGGATTACAGGCTGAGCCACGGGAGCCCGGCTGCTAATTGCTTTCTAAGGCCTCATAAAACTTAACTTGCTGTTGACCTTGAACAAATGGGTTGAACTCCATGGGTTCACTTACAGGTAGATTTTCTTCCACCTCTGCTACCTAGGAGACAAAACAAGACCAACCCCTCCTCTTCCTCAGCTACTGAATGTGCAGACACTGAGGGTGAAGACCACTTCCACTGAATGAATCGGAAATTTATTTCCTTTTTCTTACGACTTTTTTTTCTTTCTCTTTTTTAGACACAGTCTCGCTCTGTTGCTCAGGCAAGAGTGCAGTGGTATGATCATAGCTCACTGCTGCCTTGAACTCATGGACTCAAGTGATCCTCCCACCTCAGTCTCCCGAGTAGCTGGGATGACAGTCATGAGCCACCCTGCCTTGGGGCTCTCATTGTGTTGCCCAGACTGGTCACAAACTCCTGGCCACAAGCAATCCTTCTGTCTCAGCCTCCTAAAGTGCTGGGATTACCGGCATGAGCCACCCTGCCTGGCCCTTTATGATTTTTAAAATAGCATCTTTTTTTTTTCCTTTAGCTTGCTTTATTTTCAGAATACAGTATGTAATACACATAACAAACAAAATACGTGTTAATCAACTGCTTATGTTTTCAATAAGGCTTCTGGCTAAAAGTAGGCTATTAGTTACACTTTTGGGAAGTCAACAGTTATACACAGATTTTTGACTGTGGCACGGGGGCTTGGTGTCCATAACCCCTGTGTTGTTCAAGAGTCAACTGTATCATATTTATTTATTCTTGTCTAGAGAGCTAAGACTATTGTGATGCAGCCTGGGGACACGGCACAGGACAAACAGTGCATGGTGTTTAAAGGGCACTTGGTAAAAACTTGTTGAATGGATCCATGAACAGAGAAGCTAGTACAGGTCACAGTGGCCATGTAGGGCAAGGACACGTAACATACACTGGCGGGGACAACACCTGCACTAGGTGTTGAAATAGGTGTGACCCAGGCAACGAACGGGAGGAAGGTTTCAGGGAGCAGGCCCAAATCCATTCACTGATAGTCAGGCCACGACGCCATCTTCAGAAAATCTCTGGATCTCCTGTTGAGTAGAACAGTGATTACAAGTGAGCACATTGGGAGCCCTCGACAAGTAATCGGATCGTTGTGTCTACATGTAGGTTGAATAGGACTGTGCTCTTTTCTATAACGGGAAGTATTTGAACCTTGGGACTTCTCAGAAGAGTTTTGTGAGGGCCTTGCTGTCATTCTTACCCAGCCTTGGGGACAGCCTGCTGAGCTTAAGTTCATGTTCTTTTTCGCTTGGTTTCTCTTCCAGTTTTGATGTGTTTACCTTCCTAATTTTAATGTGATTTTTAGAACAGAGACCATTTGGTCAGGAAATGTGTATTCCGTCTCATTATGCATTTCTTCATGGGGATAGGGGCGCGGTGTGATGTTTTTGTTTAAAATAACATTCTAACTTTTTCTGTGGATTTTATGCTCAAGTAACACTTCTGCTTTATGTAAACTTTTTTTGGGAGAAACTAATGCAACTGGCATTGAAACAATGTACACTTGTGGTTTTTTTTCTTAAAGGAGAGTGAAGAAGTTTAGCTTTGAAATAGTTTTGAAATGTTCTTAGTTTTCACAAAATGCTTTTGCTTGAATGCTGTTGTAATTTGGTTTTTATTTTTCCCCCCTCAAATCAACCTAGGTAATGTCCTTAAGATTAAAGCTTCAGAAACTTCAGGAGGACGCAGTTGAGGAGGATGACTATGATAAGGGTGAGTTTTAATGTGCTTTTTTGATGGTTTCTTCTTTTTTCCATAATGTCCTACTTCACTTTCCCTCCTAATATTCCCTAAATGCATTGTACAATCTGCTCCCTGATCATCTCCACCACAGAACAGGTGACTGTCTTACAGCACTACTGTTTTGTAGATTCAAAGCACTTGATGAGCATTAATCCTTTGGGTTATAAGTGTAACTTTATTCATTGTCCAGAAACACCTGGAATACCTACACAAAAAAATTATAACATCATCTGCCTGCCTATGGTGTGATCTATCTATAATTTGTTCATTCATTGAAAAATATATGTTGAACACCTATTATGTGCTAGGTAATGCGGCAGGCATTAGGAATGTAAGGTAGGTACAGTTTCTGCCTTGGTGATGCCAGTAAATAGAAGCCCACATGGGGTTTTCTGACTTCATACTGTCCAGGACCAGAGACAGGAAACGAGATGAATTTGAGAGATGTCAGACTGTGCCAAAGTGGGTCACATGCATCAAATTTCCACATACTTGGCTAAAAATAGCCAAGATAGAAAGGAGAAGTTATGACATGAGAGCAGAGGTAGAGGGGTTGATCAGTGGCCAGAAAAAACAGTGAAATTCAGCCCCCGAATAGGAGTTAAGACAGAAGAAGGGAAGCTATGGGGGGAGAAGGGAGATGGGATTAACGGTAGTCAATATCTGTCTGGGGACTGGGAGACACCTCTTATCAACAAGGGTGCCCGAACGAAGCATATTTGTATACCTAACCCTTAACTGTACCCCACAATATCATAATAAAAAACATTGATTATTAAGAAAAAAAAGAAGAAGAAGGTGGCTGATGTGGGGGCCAGATGGCTTTCAGGTGTGGTTGGCCTGAGAAGAGTCTTCAAGACTTTAGATGCTGAGTGCAAGATCTCACACCCGTTTCTGCCAGGCGTGGGAAAGAAGGAGCCCTTAAAGGAGAGAGGAGAGAGGACTTCTAGGTTCCCCCAGACACCTGTGAGCTTGAGAGATACTCCTGGTGATGGCCAAGTTTAGTACATCCGGGACTGGTCTGGAAATGGAATATAGGTTTAAGAATTCTTCTGGAAGCCAGTTAGCCTTAAGGCATGGGTCTTCAACCTTCTTGGCCTGTATTTTGGTGTTTCCACGAATACATCGCAGACCGTTGGAATTGGGGCACTATAGGAATAAGATGAATGATTTCCAAAAGGAGGTTGAAATCGTGTTCTAAGAGCTGATGCTGTCTGTTGTTCACACCGCATTCACCACCGAGGTTGAGTTTAGAAAGCGATGGGGTAAGAGGATGGGAGAGGGGCTTAGGGATGACAGGGGAACTCTTTAAAATCTCCACAGCCAGGCTCGGTGGCTCAGCCTGTCATCCCGCGCTTTGGGAGACTGAGGTGAGTGGGTTGCCTGAGCCTGCGGGTTCGAGACCTGCCTGGGCAACTTGGCGAGACCTCATCTCTACAATAAATCAAAAATCAGCCGGGTGTGGTAGCACGCGCCTATAATTCCGGCTACTCGGAAGGCTGAGGCGGAAGGATCGCTGGAGCCCAGCGGGTCGAGGCCGCGGTGGCCGGGAGCGGCCGCTGCACTCCAGTCTGGGCGATGGAGTGAGACTCCAACTCAAATAAATAAATAAATAAATAAATAAATAATAAATAAACTCTCCAAGTCCTCCCTTCCACTGGCCACTTGATTTCATACTGATACTGGGTGGGGATAAGGTTTGAGGGAGGTGGCAAGTCTTAGGCAATGAAAGGACCCCTCAGCCCCAGTGCCAGCTGCTCCAACCCTGGGCATAGCTGTAGACAGAGTGCAAACAGCTATTCCTGGACCAGGCTTTACCTGCTGACTTTCGCCTGTGAAGGACAATTCAACCTTGTTTTGAAGCTCCCCGCTATTTCCCAGACTTATCTTCCTTGCCATGGGTCAAGTCCTGGTTCCTATACCTTGAGTGACACAGTCCTGACTGCAACATGCAAAGCCAACAGCACGTGTGGAAAACCAGGCCCTATTTTCGTCCCCAGCACCTGGGGAGCTTTCTGGACTTGGTTCTCTCAATGGCTTCATTAAATGCAGACCTTCCTTCTTCAGTCTCTTCTCCAGACATCTCTGCAACACCTGAGGGAACGAGGTTTGAGAGGACACGCCTCATCAAGGAAGCTAAAAGAATACAGGCAACTTTCTCTAGCATTTCTGCCCGGTTTTATTCTTGTTGCTATGCCATTGCCTACTGAATCAGAAGTTTCAGGGTGGGCTCAGCATTCTGTTTTCACAAGCTTTACGGGGGCGTGGGGTGACGGGGGTGTGTGCTAAAGTTTGAGAAAACCCTGGTGCAGGCTTTCCTCCATGGAGAGCCAGGCCTGGAGGCAGCAGCCAGCCGAGTCTTGGAGGTGGGGTTTATAGTCTGTGGGTCGAATCCTTCCTCATCTACAAGTAGTCTATGCTGCAGATGAGTGTCCATCCTGGTAGGTACTTAACACATGATTTACACACCACTGTCACTGTCTTTAAACTCCCAAACCTGCCAGCCTGGTTCAGTTCAGTGTGTCAAGAAGTAAGTGTTCTTGTGAAATGTGCACAGTGCCTGGCATAGGGTAGATGCACCCTCGATAAATGTTGTGGGAGGGAATTAATAAGTGACTTGTCCCTTGAATGCATAGAGCCCATGGATGCAAGCTAGAGGGGGCAAGGAGAAAGCACTCTTGCCACCTGAAGATGGATCAGTCCCCAGCTCATCGGAATAGGGGTAGGGGTGGGGAGCAAGAGGGGAGATTTTTGTGTAGAAGTTGGCTTATGTGAAAAATGTCTATGAAGCATCCCCTGCATACAACAGTGCTTCTCGGACTTGACTAGGAATCAGCTGCAATGATAACCGGTTAAATGCAGATTCTGATCAGGCAGTCTGGAGTGGGGTAGAGACTTCATTCGGAGCTCCAGATGATACTCATGCTGCTGGCCGTGAGCTGCTTGGAGTGGCAGTGGGATAGAAAGAGGTGAACCATGCCATTTATAAAGACACACCAAATGCTAACCTCAAGATGCTCATCTCAAGGAGTGTGTAGTCTGGGAGGAAGGGATTGCATGCTCCACCTTAAGGATAGTAAAGCTATGCATGATATATCTCTTAAAAAAAGACAAAGGGATCCCCAAAGGGGAGAAATTACTTTCGCCAGGGGTTAGGGTGGGTGAAGAAGGCTTAAAGCTCAGGAAGGGTTGGTAGTTTAGAAGGGCCTTGAAGACTATGATGCCACTGGGAGGGTGTTCTAGAGTAGGGACGAGGTAGAAAAGACACTGTTACTGCTGGCTGCCATGCAAAGTCTGGTTGACTGGGAATGAGACTGGAAACTGACTGAAATGAACCCCAGCAGGGCCAGTGCTTGGACTGGCAGGTAGTGGGTGATCAGTAATTTCTTGTGATTAGATCGCTAAGTCATTGGGAAAGTTTGGATGAGGTTGGGGTGGAGAATTTGTTGTAATAAGATTTGTTAACATAGAGTTTGAATAAATATTCTTTCCTATCAGTTCATCTGTGTTTGTTAATAAATGTTTTGAGATTTGTTGAGACTTTTCTCCATACTTTTGTTTGAACTTGCTTCGTTTATACTGTTGGGAGCAACTTTGCTGCCGTGTCTGGAGGGAAGGGGTCTGCTGGAATCTGAGAGGTTTGCCAGGAGAAGTGAGAGGATGACCTTCTCCCCCTCGGTTTTTGTTGCTTTTTTAGTTTCCCCGATCAAAATGACTTTGGGTTCCAGAGAAAGGAGCAATTGGCACAGAATAGAACGTTCCATGTTTTATCTCATCAGAGTGCTGGCAAATTTAACTGCGAATACCTCCTGGGGAAACCTTCTCAGGGCTCTAATTACATCTCTCCCTCGCTAGGGAAGTAAAGCTAATATTTCTTTATATTCTTGCATAAGGCTGGGGTGGCTTAGAAATGAAAGAATAATGCTTTCTGACATTTGCTTCGGGTCTTTCTCCAAGAGGCTCCATCAGTTTCATTGCATTAATGTGTGCCCCGTGCCTGCAGTCAGCTGAGGGGAAGTGGGAGATCTCAGAGTCCGACAGAGAGAGAAATTGAGGTCCAGACATTGGAAATGAGGAGTCAGGCTCAGCGACACGGCTGAGACAGAGAAAGGGAGAGTGTGGGCAACGGTTTCCCCTGTGGCTTCTGTTCTAGTCCCCCTGACTGCCCATGTCCCATGCCCACCAGTGACCGTGCCCACCTTCGCTTTTGAAGTGATCAAGGAGAGACTGTGAAGAGGAAGAAGCAAAATTCTGGGAATTCAGCATTTCAGTGACTCACATCAATGTGTTATATAGCAGGGCTGGCTTTATCCTTCTTGCTCAGAATTTCCTTCTTGGAGTGAAAAGTAGCCAGTGCTGAATTGCTTTCTCTATCCTTTGTCTCAACCCATGCCTATTATGACAAAATTCTAGTATCATAAAATTTTGAGACACTGCAAGAAAAATGATCACAGCAGAGGCCAAGCATAAAAACACTTTAGGGCAAGACTAGCTCTTGTCTAAATGACTACATCTCCCTTTTTCTATATTCTGTCTTCAGCAAGATCTATTTGTGGTTACTTTTTGGGTGTGGTATCCAAACACCCCGCCTGACACCCCCTTCTTTCATGGAGAGACCCACCTCCACCTCCCTCAGGGCTGGGTGTCTGAGGGACTTTCGGGAGCCTAGTGGTTAGAACTGGAATCCCTGCCACGGAACTGTAGACGTGGTTGAGCTCCACAAAACCCCACAGATTCCTTTTCACGGCCTTTCATTCCAGTCCGGAAAGAAGAAAAAAAGATCCAATAGAATCTGGCTACTTTTCTACACTTGGGACTGCCAGAGTCATGGGAGGTGGATGCCATTTGGGCCCATGGAACAGAAATGCTACTCTTGGCAGCCTGTCCTGTTTTGCTTTCTGCCTTAAAAAGTGACCTGCCTTTGGAATCTGCTCAGAGAAACAGGTCCGGCAAAGTCATCACTTTAAAAT